TTTCGGCAGAGGAGCCTGTCCGGCGGGTCGGCTCTGGGGTCTCCCTGAGGAGACCATCCCCCTCCTTCCGTAGCACCATAAGAAGTACCAGCACATCCACCAGAAGTCCTTCTCCTGCCCAGAGCCGGCCTGTGGAAAGTCCTTCAACTTCAAGAAACACCTGAAGGAGCATGTGAAGCTGCACAGTGGTCAGTGGGGGGGGGAGGGGGGATGCCTCCTCGTTTCCCCCTGTGGATCCCTTTACCTCCACCTGTGGTCTAGCATGTCCTCCTATGGGACCGTTCACTTCCCTTGGGGATCCTTTACCTTCCCATCTGTGAGTCCTTTCACCTCCCCCGTGGGCCCGTCAGCTCTCTGCAGTTCCTGTCACTCTCTAGGTGACTCACTCGCACACTCAGCATGCATTCCCTGTGTTGAGCATGTACCTGCTTGAGACTGTTGTGGGTGCTGGGATGCCTCAGTGAGCAAAGCAGGCAGTTCTCACCCAAGCTGTCCACTCCCGTGATACAGAGCACAGAAGAAGTGAAAGCATGGAAGTGAGGAGAGCGTGGGGGAGTTGCTCTTATAGAGAGGGAAGGTGCCTTGAGCAAAGACCTCAGTGAAAGGAGAAAGGGAGACGTGTCCATCTGTACGAGCAGCTCGTGGAAGGATGAGAAGACAGATAGGTGGTGGGGGCCCCAAGACTACCATGAGGATGGCTTGGCTCCTGGGGAGATGAGATGGTTTCCACCTCAGGGTCTTGAGCAGTGAAGGGACACAGCTGACTTGAAAAGGAGAGCTGTGGCCCTAGTCAGTTTGGCCCAGTGGATAGAGCGTCGGCCTGCAGACTGAAGGGTCCCGGGTTCAATTCCAGTGAAGGACACATACCTTGGTTGCAGGCACCAGGCTCTGGTCAGGGGCATGTGGGAGGCAACCAATCGATGTGTCTCTCACATCGGTGTTTCTTTCTGTCTCTCCCTTTCCCTTCCACTCTGCCCAAAAATCAATGGAAAAAAATACCCTTGGGTGAGGAATTAAAACAATAAAAGAGCTGTGGCTGCCACGTGGAGTAGGGGACAGAAGGAACGTGCAGGCGCAATGATGGTGGTCTGGAAGCCGACAGAGTGGAACCAGAGGGGCTGCCGATGGGAAGGACACATTAGGCGTAGGTGGGAGGGGTGGGAGGAGTCGGTGACTTGGAGGATTCCAGCCTGAACAACTGGGCAGAAGGTAATATGGCTTCTTGAAACAGAGACAGGTGCTGTAAGAAAGGGACATTTTATTTGGGGCATATAATAGGTATCCCAGAGGATGTGAATCCGGAGTTTGGGGATACGGGTAGAAAAAGTATGTTTGTCATGAGCACGTGGGTGGTTTTTGGAGCTGTGGGTGGCATAACCCCACATGGAGGGACTGAGCCAGGTGAAGAGGCTGGAGTGGGCAGGTGGGAAGGGCAGCTGCAGAGGAGCCAGCGAGGCAGGCCAGGAAACTGGTATCGAAGGACCAAGCAAAGTGCTGGGGAGGGGCGTTGTGCCGGTGCAAAGGGCCGAGTAAGAGGGTGAGGACAGGCCCCCAGACCTAGTGGGAAGCCATCCTTGACTAGATGGTGGGTGACAAGGGAAATGACAGCCAGAATGGAGTGAGTTCCAGGAGGGAAGAAGCTAAGGAAGTAGAGACGAGTATGAACAAGTCTGGGTATTGCTGAGAAAACAAGCAGAGAATTAGGGTCTTATCTAAGAGGGCTGTAAGCTTGGGCCACACAATGGGACCGATCCCTCAGAGAAAAGACTGACTGGGGTGGGCACCCTCTGGTCAGTGAGGGGGTATCAGGCACAGTTAGAAAGTGGCCACAGAGGAGCAGGTGGTAGTCACATATGTGGGCACAGAAGCGTTCTGGCTGGTGGATTTGGGGGATATGAGCATCCTCTCTGGGCTTCCCTCTTATTGATGACTTCAAAACAAGCTCAGTGCTGAATGGCGCCGCTGGAGAGGAGGTGGTGTGAACATGGCCTTCTGGACTCCAAAGAGGGGCGAGTGAGCTGACCAGGGAAATGCAGAGGCATGTGGCGGCCCTTGAGATCTGTGGTAGATGAATGTGGAGGCTGAGGGGAGGGGTTTCTGCCCCCTCAGTATACAGGGCAGGCCCAGAGTTGTGTTTATGCTGCATTGGTTTTAACCTAGCAGGTACAGCTGAGGGAGAGAGGGACAGGTGAATTGGTGTGAGTGACTAAAGTCACTCTGTCCTAGAACCTGTGCTGGGCAAGGAGGGACTGGGCACAGCGTTGGGTCCTGGACTGGCACCCTGGAGTCACTGGATTATCAGTGTGACAAGGTAGGGTATGGTAGGCAGGTCCGTGGCTGGAACTCGGATGGTTGAAATTGTGGTGATGGGTATGGGAGTGGTGGTTGAGAAGGGTGGGCTGCTAGGTCAGTGAATGTCATGTCACGAAACAGAGAAGTGAGTGCTGGCCAAGTAGGAAGCAAACTGACGCTAGGATAGCTGGAGAGCAGGCCAGGGGCCAGGATTGCATGGAGTACAGGAGTAACGGAGTCGAAGGCTGCCAGTGTGTGTATGTGATCTGAGGGCAGGGTATACAGAGTGGTGTTGCAACAGGTATGAGGGGCACCTTGAGGAGCTTGGAGGTGGCAGGGAGGGCAGGTTCCAGAAAAAAAATAGGGGATTGCTGACAGCCACAGGCCATTGTTGGGGGCCAGAATGGATGTGATGTGTAGCCTGAGTGGGGACAGTATTCCTGTGGGGGCTGGTGGATGGGATGAGGAAGGGCCACAGCCTGGAGATGGATGCTGGGGTGTCCCCATGCCCCCGCAGACACCCGGGACTACATCTGTGAATTCTGCGCCCGGTCTTTCCGCACCAGCAGCAACCTGGTCATCCACCGGCGCATCCATACTGGAGAGAAACCGCTGCAGTGAGTGTGGGGTGTTGGAGGAGGGGGCCGGCAGGACACTCAGGCAACTGGGCTGAGGCCCCTGACTCCCCTCTGCTGACCCGGGCACAGGTGTGAGATCTGCGGGTTCACCTGCCGCCAGAAGGCCTCCCTGAACTGGCACCGGCGCAAGCACGCAGAGACAGCAGCCACCCTGCGCTTCCCCTGCGAGGTCTGTGGCAAGTGCTTTGAGAAGCCGGACAGCGTCGCAGCTCACTGCAGCAAGAGCCACCCAGCACTGCTCCTGGCCCCATCAGAGCAACTCAGCCCAGCAGAGCCCAGCTCCAGTGTCTCTCCCCCTGCGCTCCTGGGGGCCAGCGATGGGTGCAGGCCCTCGAGTGTCTCAGGCTCTGACCCTGCTTCCTAAGCAGTGACCACGGGACTGAAGAGGAGAACGGCCAGCCGCCTGGTTCCTGGGAACTAGGGTGAGGGAGAGTCAGGGCACAGGCAGGACTGGACTCCAGGGCAGTAAGGCTGTAGTAGTCTTCCTACAGGACAGAATAAACTCGGTATTTTACGTGGACATGTGGGCAGAGTGAGTGATTTTGCACCAGAGGCGCAGGAATCGATTCCTTTGTAGGCACTCTGCCGGTGCAGCCCAGGCACCAGCCTCTTCCTCTCTGCAGCCCCCCTCAAGGACCCAGGTTTCCCAATTTGCTTGGGCACTTTGCAGCCCTTTCCTGTGGAGTATGACGCCCACTCTCACTGGAGCAGAGCAGGCTGTGAGTGCAGGGAGAGTACCGGGTCACTCTGGAGGTATGGACTAGCAGGCATACGGTATGTGACCCTGGTCCATGTTCTGTCCATTAACCAGGAGAAGCAAGTATACAGGCCCAAAGAATCTTGCCTTCTAGCACAAAAGCAAGAGGGCTGTGCGTGCAGCATTGCTGAGCTGCCTTGGGAAGAGCGAGACCTGGGGACTTGGAAGGGACCTGACTCTCCGGTCACTTCTCAGGTTTGCAGAGACAGTGGCCTCAGGTTTGATAAAGGAGGCTCTTGGCCTCCGGAACCCAGATACATGCCTCCTTTATTTCACCAGTCACAGCAGAACACTGCTGGCCCAGGAAATCCCCACCCTGCCCTGTTGCCTCTGGAGTGTGAGCCTGATTCACGTGCTCCACTTGGCTGTGCCAGGCTTTGGGGACCGTGTGGTCTTAGCCTAGGTCCCAGGGCTAATGTCCCTGCCTGGCTGGAGAAACTGTCCTGAGAGGCACTGGGTCTGGGACAGGTGGGCAGCCATGCTGAAGGCTCCCACCCACCTTCATGAGAGCGGGCCATCTCTCTAAGGCAGCAGGCTGTGTGCCTCTGGGCACAGATGTCCTTCAGTTGAGCTAGCTCCGCCGCCATTTCTGCCTGCAAATTTCCAATCTGTCCGAAGACCGAGGAGGCGAGTAGCTAAGTGGAACCGTGAGGCAGGAAGGGCAGGTGGGATATGACAGAGGCCACATCTGTGATCGCTACCTGAAGAGGCAGGACATCAAAAGTACCCAGGCAGGAGAGGCGGAGGAGACTCAGGCTGGAAAAAGAAGAGGGGACAGAGAAAACAGCTCAAGTGGGAAGCAGGGAAAGAAACACCTGAGAGCACAGAAAGAAACACCTGAGAGGACAGCGGCTGGGGGACACCCCGCCCCCCGGGCTAACACCCCCCAGAGGAACAGAAGGACTGGCAAGGAAGCAGGTGTAGGGCTCGCAGGAGGCCAGGTAGTAAAGGCCCCCACCTTGTGAGTTGGCCCGCAGTCCCTGCGACTATATTGGCGTTTGCCTAGCCTACTCCAGGGCTGCCTCTCAGCAAGGCTGCCTTAGCTGGGACACAGAAGTCCCTGCTTTTGCTGTCCTACCGCCCAGCATAGATGAGGGCAGCTGCTGTGGTGCCTTGGGTGGTGGAAGTGGCGCGAGCATATGGGCCAGCTGGTGCTGCGACAGGAGCGTGGTGCAGCGCCAGCTGAGGGCCCATGAGGGCGGGGCCTCCCCCCACTCCCTCCCTCCCAGGCGCGCCACTATGAACGCAGACACGAGCCCACCCAACAGCGGAGGAGCGGGGGGAGTGTTGAGGTCAGGGTTTCATTAAATGCGTGCATCTTTCCTGGTCTCATGATTCCGGCTTGTTGGATTTCACTCCGCTGTTGGGAATGTGTCAGCTGACATCTGTGGAGTCACTCGGGGCCGCGTGGGGAGCTGCCATTTTCATGGCGAGGGCACTGGAATGGCCCTAAACCACAGGTCCCCTCGCCGGAGCCGACTGGCTCTGCGGAC